CTGGTCGTGGTCAATAAACGTTACACATAATGCGTATTTATACATTTTGATCGAATAGGAAACAGCATCGAATTCTGGGGCATTGACAGTTAAGGCGACCAATGGGAAGTAACATTTGAAATGACATTGACAGTCAGGATGACCAATAAGAGACAATATTTAAGTATTTGACTTTGAGAATTAAAATGACCATAATTTTGACCAATAGAAATCGACTAATAGGATTTGAGCGATAATTCTCTTAGGATAATGAATGAATATCCTAACAAATTTTTCCTTTAATTTACTTATATCCTACTTAGGTGAAGCCTGTTTGTATGACGGTGATAATTAGAAGCCAAATTCGAATACTGGTAGATGGGTGTTAGGGAGAGTAGATCCCCCAAAACTCTCTTGTAAAATGTCCTAATTTTGGATTTTGGTGTTTTCACGCTTGGGCTGCTCAGCTTACCTTAAGATTACATTTCCCACTTGGGAAATTTTCTACTGTACACTGATTGATGTATTATTTTAGTACGCTATTTATGTGGGTGTCCCAAGGATGCTTCGGTCATGTATAAATAAGCTCGATTAGTATGCTTATGGACATCTCGTTGCTGGGTGCTTGCAGAATACACTTTTTACGCCTTAATAATACTTCTTGATATAGTTACCAAGGCCAGGGACAAACGCATTAGAATAGCCTATCGTGTCACTGAATCATTTGTCTTCGCTCTCGTTTACCGAGAAAGCTGTACTCGTAATAGTTTCAAGCATATCAATAAGTTTATTTCATACAATCTGATAAGTTCGTCACTTAGTATGCTTGAGGCTATTACGAGTTTACCTTAGTCGATAAACGCGAACGAGACTTTTACCAGAGTCCAGGTAGGCTACCTTGAATCCCCAAAGCGAGTAAAAAGAACTTTGTAAGCGTAGAAAGTATATTCTACAAACACCCAGCAATCACAGTACACTCAAGCATACAACTCTCGTTCATTTATACATCATAGAAACGTCCTTGGGAGAGTCACACAAATAACACACTAAAATACACAGCAGCCAATGACAGCCATGGATTTTCCTGGTGGGAAATGAAATCTCAAGGTCAACTGATCAGCCCATGCTCGCCAACGTGAAAACCAAAATAAGGCATTGATCAAGCGAATTTTGGGGATCCAACATCCCCAACACAATCATTCACGCAAACAGACATGAGAATAACAAGCTTAGCAAAGTGAAACAGAATAGAGAAGGTGAGAGAGCCAGCTCAATGCGATGAAGCATGAGTAAGTATGAATAGCCAGAAAAAAAAATAGTCTAGACATGTAACGAGTGAACTAATCAATGTATACTTACATGCGCACTCAAGCAAAAACAACCAAGAACATTAGCAAATAATTGACACAGTTGAAAAACATGTGAATAATAATTTAAGAAGATTGGATTCCCTAATTTGTTGAAAGGCCAGGATAAGCCATGTGTACTCGAAGCAGCTGTACACATACTGCTGGCTGTACAAATGTTATTTGTGGTGACTTGAAAAATATATATTATTTTTTAAATGAAGAAAACAGAAAGAGACTATTCACAGTTGTCAAATATGACAACAATAAGAATACTTTCTAACTATACCTTAAAATTAAAAAAAAACATGAAAGATACCAAGAAGTCTAAAGAGAAATAAATCTGATCAATTAAGGTCACATTGTGGTGCGAGCTACTTATAAGTAGTAGTATATGACGTGAATGTCAACGTAATGTCTGGCAGCAGAAGATGTGGGGGAAGATCAAGAAAGAAAGACAAGGGAACACAATAGAATTTGTATGAAACGCATGAATAGTAGTGACAATGGATTGATGTTTTGCAACAGGAACAGTCCAGTTCGATATGATGATGGACTGATATTTTGCTAATTAACGATTTACGATATGATTTTCCTATTTTACTGAGTAACAAACCGGTTGCCTCACCTGTGTTCTCGTTCACTACAACGTTACCTCACTAGAATCATCTTCCAAAATAATATTCTTACTGACTTCGGCTTGTTACCCTCTTCTTATAGAGCATAAGTCACTGACCAACCTACTTTGTCACGGGCCTTTCTTTCAAGTTCTACTCAGTTAGTGTTCATGCTATTCTTGTCTGCTGCCAATTCTCAGTGTAATGTGTTCTCTGTTCTTCCTCTTTTTATATTTTCGACTTGGAGAATCCAAGTGAGAGCCTGTCAGATTTACTTAAGCAGAGAGATAACAATGAAAAGCAAAGTGAGTTAGAGAACGCGAGTAAGTTAATTGCATATGATGATGAGGAAACTTGACTAAGTCAGACAAAATCAAGCTAAAGACATATGAACAGCACAGCAAGCAATGCATTGAACGTATTCCTGTAAAAACCAAGATTCTAAGTGAATAAATGGCTAGGTCATAAGACGTGTGAACAGTAGCTTGAAGAGTGAAAGTAAATTAATTTGTCCCGAAGCTAGGCTGAGTCATATTGTAGTGAACGAGAACACAGGTGGAGCAAACGAATTGTATTTAACGAAAATTACAGAGTTACTCAGTAAAATAGGGAAAACCATATCGTAAATCGTTCATTTGCAAAATATCATATCGAACTGGACTGTTCCTGTTTCAAAACATCAATCCATTGTCACTATTCATGCGTTTCATACAAATTCCAACTCTTCCTTTCTTGATCTTCCTCCATCTTCTGCTGCCAGACATTACGTTGACACTCACGTCATATACTACTTATAAGTATCTCACACCACAATATGGTCTCAACATTAGCAGGACACATTGTAAATAATATGATCTCATCTCTCTCTCTCTAAAGACTATCGCAATTGTTCATTGACCGATCAATAAGATTGTATAATTTCTGTGAATAATAATATCGTCAAAATACAAAATCAAAAAATTAAACATTTTTTTTCCAATTAACTATCTTTACTACTTTGTAGTGTATCGATTTACTGCGTGTTCTTAAGCTCGGTAATTAACTCATCCAGACAATCGTTGCCAAATAGCGTCTGACGGTTGATAAATCAGAAGATGAACACAAAGTGATGAATACGTTTATTCGGGACACACTACAAAGCGAAGCGGAGAAGCAGTGAATAAAACGAACGAAACGACGTGAATTGGAGAAGGCTTTTGAGCCAACTCAAAGAGATATAACATGACTAAGAATATATAGTCAGACAAAAATAAGACAGACATATGACAAGCGAAATAGGCATGCACAGACATAAATAAAAGCGACGAATGACTGACACGGTCAAAAGCAAGCGATACAAATCATGTGAGTTCATGGGGATATTAACAGATTAACATTAAAGCGAAAAGGATGAGTAAGCGCGTAGGCGTAAACAATGCTGAGTCGTACAAGCTCATACAAACCAGATAATAAAAAATACCAATGGTACATATGGGTTGCTGCTATACGAATAACGTGGTTACATAAGTTAATCGAAAGGCGTAATGAAATTAAAAATGAGCGAACTCAAGTTTATGTGGAGGCACGACAACTTTTACAATGATATTATGTTTCATTCTGCATGTGAATCAAATAATTATCACAAATAAATCAGTGAATATTGAAAAGAAACTGTTTGGGACGTTAGATAATCCCAGAACTCGCTTGATAAATGCCTTAATTTTGGATTTCACATTTGCCAGCATGGGCTGATCAGTTGACCCTGAGATCGCATTACCCACCAGGAAAATCCTTGGCTGTGATTGACTTCTGTGTATTTTAGTGAGCTAATTTTGTGTCTATCCCAAGGACGTCTCTATCGAGTATAAATAAACGAGAGTTGTGTGTTTGATTGTATTGTGCTTGATGAGTGTTTTTAGAATACACTTTCTACGCTATATCAAGGCTTCTGTTTCGCCGTTTTCGGATCAAGGTTGCCTACCTGGACTCTGGTTCATTGTCTCGTTCGCGTGTATCGACTAAGGTGAACCCGTAATAACTTCAAGCGTACATAGTGACGAACCTAACAGAAACAGAAAACCCATTAACCATTAAAAAATTGAAATGAAATTGTTTCAATCAAGTATGTGTAGTTTTATAATCAGTGCAGTTATAGTACAAAGTTGGTGAAAATACTAATTGAAAGACATCAAAGTTAGTTCATAATGAACATTCAACTGTTTTCTTGAAATCTTCAGTCAGTCATTGTTAGACCGTCATTGGACATATGGAGGCACTGGCTGGCCGTTTCTATCT